TGGGTTTCGTGCCCTTTCCTGTGTCGCTGCCCGTGGGCCGATCCAGGCTGGCAGGTCCTAGACACACCGACCGATGGATGGGAACAACCTGCCCTAACCAGACAGCAGGACGTCCTGGGCACCTTGGAGACTGACAAGAATCCACGGAGTCCTGAGCTTCCGGGGTGAGACCCGCTTCTCAGAAGAGTGGGAGTCACAGAGCCCACGAGATCTGTATGAACAGCTAGAGAAGTGCCTCTCATTGCAGACCCAGGCTACTGACGCGAACTCGGGGTGCTTCACTGCCGCTGGGATGGGGGGCTGCCCCACGCCAGCCCTTTCAGGCTAATCCCAGCCCTGGGAGAGGCTGAGGCTGATATTGGCTATGGGGCCCGGCTGGGGGCTGTCTGAATAAGGGCACCGGGAGGGCCGACGAGAGAGACTCTTGCTGGAGCTGGGGAGCAGGAGGGACCTGGCTGCCAGGGAAGCTGGGGGTTCCTGAGGCTGGGGAAGGCAGGCAGGGAGGGGCCTGACCTCGCTCCTAGGCTCAGGGCCTGAGGGGACTAGGGCTGCAGGGGGCAGCCAGGCTAGGAGAAGGCAGCAGGTCCACTCCCTCTTGCCAATGCTGAGTGGCCATTGCAGACTGCAGCTTAGCCTGGCAGTGGGCCACTGGGCAAGGCGGGTCCAGGGGAATTGGGGGTTCTCTGGGCGGGGAGGACCCCAGAGTACAGAGACCGAGAAACACCCCCGGAGGGGCCAAGAGACACTGGAGCGGGCCCTGCCGGAGGGCCGTGTCCTGAAGGGGACGCCGTGGTCGTGGGCGACGCGGGTCCGGAACGCAGAGCGTGGCGTGAGGACACAGGGAAACACCCGCCAGAGGGAGGCGCCCTGCGGGCTAACAAGCTAATTCCCAGTAGCCCCATCTAAGTTGTATTTGCCTAGTTTATTGATAAGAATATCATGCGAGACCGTATCAAACGCCTTCCTAAAGTCTAGGTTTACCACATCCACCGCTCCTCCCTTAGCCACAAGGCTCGTTATCCTATCAAAGAAAGCTATCAGATTGGTTTGACATGATTTGTTCTTCACAAACCCATGCTGGCTGTTCCCCATCACCTTGCCACCTTCCAAGTGTTTGCAGATGATTTCCTTAATTACTTGTTCCATTATCTTCCCTGGCACAGAAGTTAAACTGACTGGTCTGTAGTTTCCTGGGTTGTTCTTATTCCCCGTTCTATAGATGGGCACTATATCTGCCCTTCTCCAGTCTTCTGGAATCTCTCCTGTCTCCCATGATTTTCCAGAGATGATAGCTAGAGGCTCAGATACCTCCTCTATCAGCCCCTTGAGTATTCTAGGTGCATTTCATCAGGCCCTGGTGACTTGCAGGCATCTAACTTTTCTAGGTGATTTTTAACTTGTTCTTTTTTTGTTTTGTCTTCTAAACCTCCCCACTTCCCACCAGCATTCGCTATGTCAGGCATTCCTTCATCAGACTTCTCGGTGAAGACCGAAACGAAGAAGTCATTAAGCATCTCTGCCATTTCCAAGTTTCCTGTTACTGTTTCCCCCTCGTCACTGAGCAGTGGGCCTATCCTGTCCTTAGTCTTCCTCTTGCTTTTGTATATCTCTTGGATTCTGCTAGTTCCACTCCAGCGCGTCTGAGGAAGTGGGGTTTCCCTGGGAAAGCGCAGGACCCTCCGTATTCCTGTTCGTCTCTCCGGGGCCACAGGACTACTCATTTCTAAAGTGACAGACACGCGGCCGCCCTCTCTGGCCCCATCCTGCAGTGATGAGTGCAGGATAGGCAGATGTGCAGAAACTTTCACTTCCTGCTGCCATCCCCACATCTGGAACAGCCTCTGCGCCTGCTCAGCCACCCAGGAACCTCCCTCCCTGCAGCATCTGCGTGGCCAAGCCCTGTGCGCCGGGCCATTCCTGGGCCGCAGCGGTGGGAGCAATGGCGCAAAGCAGGATGAAGGGAAACGGGTGAGGGGGCCAGTTCAGGGAGAGAGAGACCAGGAACTCTTTGGGGGGACTTCAGAGCCTGTCTCTCTCCCCTGGCTCTTCCCAGCGTCCTCAGGCCAGGGCGGAGTTCAAGGAATCCAGCTTGTGCCGTTCTCTTTTTCAGAAACGATTTCCTAAAGGAGATCAAGATCATGTCCCGGCTGAAGGACCCGAATATCATCCGCCTGCTGGGGGTGTGTGTGCGGGACGACCCTCTGTGCATGATAACCGAGTACATGGAGAACGGAGACCTCAACCAGTTCCTGTCCCAGCGGGAGATCTGCAGTAGCTTCGCCTTGTCAAACAACATTCCCTGCGTCAGGTACGAGAAGGGGCAGGCTCACACAGCCGCTCCAGTGCCCTGAGCAAAGCGTGTTTGTGGGAACCCCGAGATCTGCTGGCAACGCCCCTCCCAACGCCCCAGTGAGCGCTCAGCCTGCTTGGCTCCAGGGGCTCCCTGCTGCCTCCTCTCCAGCTTCCCACCCACGGTCCTCCCCGGACCCTTGTGTGTTGTGCTAAGGGAGCTGGCCCAGGAGCACACAGCACGCAATGGCCACTAACAGCCACGTGCTTCCTACCCCCTTGCTGGCTAGACCCTGTCGATCGTCTTCTCATGCCCTGTGCTCACGTACGGGCGTTGAGAACAGCTTCCCATGTGCACACCCGGCGCCTGAGACGGCCCCTGCCCACACACTTCCCAGTGACTCAGCTGTTCACACTGAGAGGGCTTTCGCTAGTGACCTCACGTGACCCTTTCGGTGACCACGGGGGATCCCTTTAAGCCTACATGCCGCTGTGCCCACTGCCATGTGGCAGCAAGAGGTTTCTGGGGCACGGCCACTGCATCGAATACCAAAAACGCAGCGTGGTCTGGCAGCAGGGAGAACGTGGCCGCCGACGGGTGGACGGCTCCATGGCGTGTCCTGGGACGGGGCTTCGTCATTCCTTCTCTTGCGGGTGTGTGCTTGTGCCAGGACGTTCCGTGTGGAGCGCCCCACACTGCGGCACAGCAAACAGGCGGTGTTCCTTTCCCAGGGGTTGAGATGTATAAGGGGAGGGTTGGCAGGAGGCTTGAGAGAGGAGTTAGCTCCGCAGCAGCTGCACTGCTCTGGCAGATGAACCCCTCTCTGTGCTGCAAGCAGATTGAAAATTGCGGCCGCTGAGGGAGAAGGTTTTATCGGAGGGGATTTTATCCTGGCCAGAGATGTTGTGTGTAGGGTGGAGGGATTTTGTCTGTGCTATCTCCACCAGAGAGTTATGGCGCATCGTGGCTGAAAAGGATGCTGAATACTTTGAACTAACCAGCTGCACCAGATCAGCTGCAGATTCTTCTAGTAATTTTTGAGTAGAAACATTTTACTTGCACAAGCTGCCAAGAAACAACGTGGGCCGCTAATGCGGATGGTCAGTAGATCTTTGAACGCTGGGACCGTTCCAGGAATCCACAGAACAGTTTCCCCAGAGTTACTGTAAAAGAGTAGCCAGGCTGACTGGGCCTGTCCGCCTGACATTCATATTGGAACAGCTCAGTGCTTTTTTTATAAGAAAAAAAGCTCCGGTATTCTGGGGCAAACTTGAAACAACGTGGGCCGCTAATGCGGATGGTCAGTAGATCTTTGAACGCTGGGACCGTTCCAGGAATCCACAGAACAGTTTCCCCAGAGTTACTGTAAAAGAGTAGCCAGGCTGACTGGGCCTGTCCGCCTGACATTCATATTGGAACAGCTCAGTGCTTTTTTTATAAGAAAAAAAGCTCCGGTATTCTGGGGCAAACTTGAGGGGGGGGGGGGAAACCCCCCCCCGCGGGGGCCCGAAAGGGCGGCG